AATTACAATCTGACTTCTTAAAGCAGGGTGGCTGACCTGTCTGGCCCTACCAGCTGTATATCCAAGTCTTCCTGTGGCCCAGAGCCATACAACACAACCCACATATCTCAGAGAAAAGAGGAGCTCCAGCAGAGGTTCATCAGCTGGTGAGGAGAAAGACTCCTTCCTAGAATGGGGCAATGCTGTCACGCTGGCTGTGGCAGCCCTTCCCTCACTTGGGGAGCTGAAGACTTGCCCTCCTGTGTCACTTCTCAGGGGAACCTGCCCAGTATTGTCAAAACACCATCGTGCTTTGTCCCCAGGTGGCTGTGTTGTCACAGCACTGGTGCTGTGAACCTTCCAGATCCACAGCTTGTAGAGCAGGTTGGCAGCTTAAAGGTCTGGTTATTAATAGGGAAGTACCTAGTAACATACTAGTTACTAATAGTAACCTGCATTTCTATTTTATCATCAAATAAGAAAAACATTTTATCCCTGACAGTATGTGGAGATTGGTTTGCCCTAGAATCAAGCAAGGGGAGACAGTAAAGCTTCATATTCTTCTCTTCCCTTGAAGAAAAGGTAGTCATTGGTGTTCTCTGACCTCCTTTTTTATTTATAAGATCTGAATGATACTCTGCTGTGGAGAGCAAATCTTGACCACCACAGAATCACCAAACACAGAAAGAGTGGTATCAGAGCCTTCATCAGCTTCCTGACATAGCAAAGAAGAAGACCAGCATATGCTGTAAATGTTTTTTTTCACCATGGACACACAGTGAATTTTCTCAAACCCAATATAAGATGCAGTTTCCAAATGGTGGAAGAAAGCAGTGGCAGTTCCAAGCAGCCCCCAACATCTGGCCAATTTTGCACTTCAGATCCCAGTCTGACACAACGATGGTGTCGGCAGCCACTCTCCTGTCCCTCACATGGGCAGACATATGCCAAGACACTGGTATATGCTGAAGCTTTTTCTCCTGATTTAATGGATGCAAAAGAGGGTAACCTGTACTGTCCCCATCTCTTCACAGGTGCTGGTGGCACCTGGGCCATAGTGCAGAGCTGTCAGGGGTGCTAATGGCACCAACCCCATGGGTAGAAGACAGTCATGGCTGGGGATGTTCTGCATAGCTGTAGGTACCCACTCCTGGGAGTCTTGGTCTGGGGGCTACCAGAGGCCAGAGGAGCTGGCAGGGGGATGTGGGCAGGCATGGGACAGGAGAAGGAGCAGCAAGGACTTAGGGCACCATCTGGTGGCTTCACTCTTCACCTTCCCTAGATCCCTGTCTCACAGGGTCACAGTATTGCATGGCCAAGGGCTGAAGAAAAGCCAAGAAACAGCCCAGCTGTTGTGACCCTTGCTCTTGGCCCAGACTCACACACCCTTGGGGCACTGCTGGGTGGAACAGTGGTGCAAACCAAAGCAGTAATGACTATTTCATTTGGGTGCTGTTCAGTCAAGCTCCTCCCTTGATAAAGACCAAACCCTAGCTAAGTCTTCAGACACTATTGCCATGATTAATGGTAGTGACACCTCTAAAAAGAAGGAAAAAAAAAAAAAAAAGAAGACAGCAGTGATGAAGGAGAACACCTTGGACATACATTTCATTGTCATCATCAACCACCACAAGGTCTTTTTTGTCTACAGATAAAGGCAAAATACAGTTGGCATGTTTCATAAAACAGAACAGTAGCCATGCAAAAGCTTCTTTGCAGGAAGGAATGAAACCAACAAACCAATGAACCACTAAGTGCACCCATTTTTTTTGCCTTCTCAAGATTGGATTTCCTGTAAAGCATTGAAAAGGAGTTGTTTGAAGGGACTATATGACCTCAGTGTCAGCAACAACCTTTGCAGCAATGCCAGCTGAGACAACACACTGAATACACATGTTGAGAGACTGCATCTCAGGACCTCTCGCACCTGGTGGAGAGCACAAAGGATCTTAGTGCTAACATCTTTAGAAGAAGGCAGGCAGCACATTTCCACCATTGCTTGCTTTTATAACAGCCCTCCACTTCCCTGAAATCCTGTCAATACAAAGGGATAGTTCAACAACTGGGAATCAAAGATTATCCCACCGTAATCTGAGAGCATGCTCTGTGCATAACAGCACCACACCAGGGAAAGCAAGTGGAGCTGTTGCCCTTAGGGACACAGCTTTAAAGAGGAATCCATTCCCAGCATTCATTTTAAAGCAAAACATGTAGACTAAACACAAGGCAGTCATTGCCTCTCAACTCTGTGGAGCTGGGAGAGCTGATCCTTAATTTGTCTTTTTCAATTGCTCAACACTTAAAAATTAACTCCTTTCTCCTTGCTAGTAATGCTTATTTTCTGCATGTGTTCTCATGGGCTATGGAGGTAAGACAAAAAGACAAAATTACTGTCTTTTTCCTGAACAAAGCAGCTATATCAGTATTATATAAATTCCATTTCATAGTGTCTCTTATCTGTGCCTGAAGACATTTCCTCACACCTCCTTAGAAAACCCTGTGCCATTTAACATCTCTGCCCTCATGCTCATCTGCTTTCTACCTTTCTTCCTCACACACCTTGATGCTACTGCAGCTGCCCATGGTGCACAATGATAAAGAAGTGATACCAGCTTGTGGCCACCTAACTTCAGAACTCCCTTGTGCAGCAGCATTTACTCTGGCAGGGCCAATCCAAACCCCATTGAAATCAACAAAGTGATTCCCCCAGCTTTGGCAAACTTTGGCACACAGCCCAAATCCCCAAACTTGCCAGTGTTTCTTGGGATTTTTCACTTTTTCTACTTAATTGATCAGAACCTGGTGTGAGTCTTCCAGTGCTTTAGAACTGACTGTTCTAGAATAGCCTTTTCTATTCCAAATACCATTCTTCCTCTCATGTTTCATTTTAAACAGCTTCAGCTACTTAATATATGGAATTGTTCAGGCATATAAATGTAAGAAACACACTATTTTAAAAGGTAACAGAAAAAAACCACAAATCAATTCACTGCAAACTGAGATACTTGCCAGGAAATTTCCAGTAGCACCTAGTATTTTTAGCATTTATAAAATTTAAAAAGCAAAACACAAAAACTAAGCAGTGTTGTTTTGAAAGTTTTCAGTTTTCATCTAACTCACAAGGTTCTGCTGAATATTTTGTTGCCATACTGCAATAATTCATATCATCATTTCTTCAAAGTTGTTAAGGAAAGAAATTGCTGTACCTGTATAATCCTCTGCAAATTCTTCTGTTAACACAAATATTTTCTGGTCATATTAGTAAACACTAAAATTGTTGACTTCAAAAATATTTACTTATAATTGTCATGATCACTTAAGAAATGGAATATGGATCTAATAAGCCATGCTGTCTATTCATTGTTCTTCCTGAAATTAATTTCTCAGCACTGGGAAGAGAAAAAGTATTTTCCTGTGGTTAAAGAAAGTCCAAATTGCATGTTTGAAATCTCTTCTAATAAAAAGAGCAAAGCAATAAGAGGATTATCTCTTTAAACATAGTATAGGAGGGCTGGAAGCCCTGGAGACATTTTCCATAGCCTCTATCTCTGATGCATAGCAACATTTATCTTTGGCTAGAGAGGGTCCTATGACCCTGGAGCTCAATTTTAATTTGATCTTCTTCTTTAAAGAGGTTTCTATGATTCTTCTCAAGTTATGCTGCATATTGCTATTTTGGGTTGGTTTTGTTCAGTTGTTATTTTGTTGTGGGTTTTTAATCTGAGATAAAACAGCCTCAGCTTTTTGATCCACTGGTCTGATCGTGTTATATGGATATTTAATGTAACCTCTTCTCTATTAGAACTAGAATATGCATCAGCACAAATGGTAGGCAAGTTCCAGCTGACAGGAGAGAGAAGAGCTCAGACAGAAAATTCACCTCTAGGGCCTCCCTCCAGTCATTCGAAGCTTCAGAACTGTCCTACCTGGCCAAATCATCTATGGGGGCATGGGTAAAGGAGTCTTATACCCTTTCAGAGAAATACTGGCCAGCTGAAACAAAGGCAAACCTACTGGTTTGGTGGGGCAGAGGTACCATGCCTGCTCTCACAGACGTTCAAAATCTGAAGCAGTAACAATGATCATTGCCACAGAAAGCAGGGAATTGAGGAGCTCGGCTTGAACTTCTCTGGACTGGTACCTGGTCCCAGCCCCATGTGGCATACACAGTCCCAACAAGTGAGTTTCCTCAGGGTCCCACCTCCTTCTTCCTCTTCCTTTGTTCTGGTAAGGGCGCGGCCACTGAGACATCATGCCAGGCAGGGATATTTTCTGTTTTCCTTTTCTCCATCTTTATCTCTGTCCGTGCATCCACTCCTCACCCTATACTGGTGAGACTGCTGAAGGGAAAGCATTTGCTCAGAGGCACTGATTTGAGTCGGCTGAGTATGGTCACAGCAGGCATCTGTGACTACTTGATGGGATTAGCAGATTATGAGAAAGCATGTTTCCCTGTGGGGTTCCTGAGAAAGGAAAAAAAGGCAGGTGGATGCTTGGATCTCAGTTAAACTATGCATGAGGGCCTGATGGCCACGTCTCGAAAGCTGTAGGCACAGGATCAGATGTACTGCTGCAGGTCAGGATTGGAAGATCAAACCAGCAAGCAGAGAGGTCTCTGGATTGTCCTATCATTCACATGAAGATAGATTGGCCTATCTTCGTCTTCACAGGACGAAGATTTTAGAACTTCAGCCAGGACAGGTGAGAGAAATGTGCACGGATCCCACCTGTACGATTTCTAAGATACTTGTGAGTGCTTGACAAAAGCAGCTTTTCTTTTGCATCAAACAGCTTTGCTGCAAAATAGCTCTGCTGCATCAATGCAGACTGAGCCCCGGTGGGATTTGAGCAGATGTATTCTGTTGTTTATGAAGGGCAGTTTAGAAGGAGCCAGGGGTTTGCAAGTCCCTTGTGGTTGTGCCCTGAAGTTGCTGTGGATCTCTGCAGAGACCTGGGGTTGTAAGAGAATAGTTCTGCTATACAGAAAGATACCTGGTCCACATAGCCTTAGATTTTCCCTGTTAGATATTCTCATACAATGTATCAGAGGATTCTTCTAGACTTGCTTTCTTCTTAGGTGTCTGCAGAATGATGAAAAGGAGAAAAAAGAAATGGAGGAAAATTATTCAAAAGAAGATTAATTAATTCTTAACAAGCAGACACTGACGTTTGTTCTGTTATAAAGTCTGTAAGTGATCTGCTGAAACGGAAGCCACTGCAGTGAGAAGTGCTGCTCTGCCAGAGACAAACGTGACTAATCCAGCCCAAGGGATAAAGATGCCTCCTTTACTTGTCACTCTTCCCCCCAAAAAACCTGTCAGACAGAGAGAGGAGGGAAAATTGGACTTGGTAAAAAAATAAATCACTTTGGATTCTGTGAAGGAGGAATTCCCTGACCTCCTCAATCCTGTTTCTTCAACAGTTGAGTCTATTCCTCACCACCATTTCTTGTGCAGACAAGGCGCTGACAGGCTGATATTTTCAGCGCTGCGTGGCACAGTCCTGCTGCAAGCAAGGTTACACAGCAAGGAGCTGAAATGCCACCGGGTGAATGGAGCCCTACCTAAACTAGCATTTTCTCTGCTGCCACCACCAAAGGGAAACATTTTGCAGAAGTGCTGAGTGTAGGTGCCTCCAAAGCATGTGGGATTAACCCATCACTCCCCAAGCTGGCTGGCAGCCCTGTGTGACAGCGCACAAATGCTCTCATTTCGGAGATTCTCTGCCCTGCTTCCCTTGACACCTCTCCCTCTATCCGCAGCATCTTGCAGCAAGTGCTGGCCTGGACCCTCTGTAGCAGAGCCAGCCACCATCCAGCAATCCCAGCTCCCACTGAGGACACTTGGTCTGCTTTTGATGTGAGAGCTCATCCCATCTCCTCTCTATGCTTTTTTCTCCTTTGTTTCTCCTCTCTCTGCTTTGAACTTTACCCCACCCTGGCTGAGACTACCGGCAACAGACCCACTCAGGCACAGTTGTTCCTCTGCTCCTGCTCTGTTCCACAGACCTGTTGCCCCTCAGTGCAGCAGTTGAGTGGTGTGAGCCATACACAAGTGATTCAGCACAGCCCAGACAGCTCCAAGTTTGGGAACAAAACCCACACATACTGCATCTTATCATCCAGACTGAATAATTTTGAACGGGGCAGCTCATAAAGATATACAGAAGAATCAATAGGGTAGGGAACAAGGATCAGGACCTACTGTTCTTCCTATCCAACTGATTAAAAATGTAACAAGAACACAAAACCAGGGATGCTGTCTTTTCCAGTCCATAGGATGCACTGGGATATCAGACAGCCTATATTAAACCAACTCATTCTTCCCCTCAATAACCAGATACCTGCCATTGCCTTTTGTACCACCAACCACTGTGGTGCTACAGCAGTAACTGCAGGAGGCTAGTGGCCTTGGGACCTAACCACATAGCAAACAGTTCTGACACAAAGAAGGTGGCTTTATTTTAGACCACCTTTTCCTAAAAAGTTTGAGTTGTGAAAATGTCTCAAGCACTGGAAAACATTGTCCTTCGTGAAACAGAGGGATGGTGCCAACTGAAGCTGGTGCCATGCTCCACACTGCAGAAGCAGCATGGGGAACTCTTCCCAACATTATATCAGTTGGAGGAAGCAGGAGACATTTTTCAGGAACATTTTCCAGTGTTAGAAGAGTGAATATGTTTTTTAAGCAGATAAGAGATCTGGAAGGGAAAAGAACAACGAAGTTCTGAGGGCAGGAAGGAAATGTTCCCTGGGGAGCCTGATTAAAGTTTTGTCCCTGTAAAGCAGCTGATGTTGGCAGAAGGCAGGGTAGAGGGCTGTGTGGGCCTCCAGTCTGCTTCATGTGGCCCCCACAACTGACCTGCACTTGCATATTCTGAGTTGCAGGTACTTTCACTATGAGTGGATTTAGTTCCTTGTCTCTAACTTGTAACTTCCAGCCCAGCAAGAAGATCCAAGCCCAAAATGTACCCACACTGCCTCTTCCTGAGCCCCAGAACTGACAGAGACTGGATCAGCCCAGAGTCGGTTCAGACCATCTTAGCTTCTGCTACCATGAAATGGCTCTCAGGTGCCTAATGCTGGTGAGAGCAAACCTGTAGCCAGGGTCGCCCCAGTGCACAGATTCTTCTACCTGGAAGGACTTCTCAATTGCCTAAATAATCTAGAAAGGGCAACACTGAGGGCCAGCATCTGGCCAACTGTCCATGAATGCCCATCTCATTCAGAGGGAGCAGCAATTCTGAACCCTTCAATGCCTTTTAGGGCACATTGTGCAGCAAAGCATCTGCATTAATCCAGGACTGCCAGAACTCGCAGTGCTGCAAGAACAAGGGTTCTGCTGGAAGAAGGAAGAAAGGCTACATGTGCAGCACAGCTGGCGAGTGGATGCCACGTCCTGTTCTCCCCTTTTGGTGGGACTGGAAGTGGGGAAAGGGCAGACAGACTTGCTGCCTGCTAGGGCCACAGCAACTCTGTTTTTTTAACCCATGTGCCTAGTGCGTAAGCAAACTCTCCAAGAACGGGGCCCCAGCCCTTACCTTCCTTGGAGGACTCTTCTTGGGTGACAGGTTTTTTGTGTTGTCCTCAAGGCTAGAGTAGACTTCAACTTGGTGCAAATCCAGACACTGCATAAGGAAGCAAGAAGAGAGTAGGGGTCAGATAAATTACTTAGGTTTAAGACAATTAATTGCCTACTGTGTTGTTCCCTATCTCAAGCCTGACATCCTTTGGGAACCCCTGCTCTCTCCAGAATTTTGAAGTTCCTGACCCAAACTTGAGCAGAAAAAATCCTTTTCTCCTGGAATCTTTACATTGCAGCTGCATCATCTTCTTTTTTCAGGCTCACAGAGATGGGCTTTGATGCTACCTACCCTGTGTAAGGCAGTGGAGAACAACGCCAATGCCACTGCCTCCCTCTGCTTCACATTGTCCCAGAATGCAGAATAAAAGACCTCTCTGCCATATGAGAGGATATTGTGCACCATGGGGGCCACAGGTGCAGAGCAGTGCTCTGCATTGTCCAGGAGTGTTTAGGTGCCTGACACCCATGAGTTCTTGTTCATAGTTATTCTAGGCACACAAGGGTGAGAAGAGAGGCGAGGCTGAAGGTCCTGAAAAGCAGAGCCTGTCAAAAATGGGAAATTCGACACTGGGCATGATTTATATTTGTTGTCTGGGTTTTTTCCAAGCCAGAAATCTCCTTTCTTCTTAGAGTGAGCAAAGAATAATAATAATCAGAAAAAAATCAATACATTCGCAGACCCTCAAACTTCTCTGTGGTCCCACACACCTACACAGAGAAAGACACACATGCCCTACATGTGTATGCACGCACTGGTCCCCCAGGTAATGGTGTCACAGGAGATGCCTGTCAGTTTGAGTGATGTTCCAGATCTGCCTGAAGGATCAAATATAACAATCAGGAGGACTTTTCCATGTGTGTTTCAAGGATGACAGCAGGTTGCCAAGGTGGCTGTTTCTCTGGCAACAGGAAGATGGGAGGAGCTCCGTCCGCAAGAGGGGCAGATGGTATTAGTGGAGAGACTGCAAAGGGAGCAAAGCACCCTGCAACACAGCCAGGAGGATGAGCAAAACTTGGGGGCTTCATTCTGGGGCTGCCAATCACCTGAACCTCCATCATTTCATCCAGAGTTGCAAATGCTCAGCATCTTTCGGGATCATGGCCAGTAGAACAGTGGTTTGAACAGGAGCAGATGATTGAGGAGCAGCATTTGGAAGCAGGACTTGGAACAAACAGGCACTCAGACAGGAGGAGGCTGCAGTAAATTAAGAACCCCACGGCTCTCCCATTTCCACTCCTCCTCTGGGAACAGGCAAATTACTTAACCTGTCTGCTTCCCACTCCCAATGACCCGCTTGCCTACAGCAGACATTCCCAACTATTTGCATGTGCACATGTGCGCACAGAAAATCCCATTTCCCCATCCTCATTTTAAATTCTCTTTGTGATGCTCACAGTGAGGACCTTGTCCCATGTGCTGTGCTCCCATCAGCCTGGCTCTGTGTCCCCATGGCAGGACAGGCAGCCTCTTTCACTACTCTAGTACAAAGCCACTTGCAAGCAAGACATATCCTTTTGGTGTATAACCTCCTAAAAAGATTCTCTCCCTCCACAAGCCCTCTTCCCATGGAGGCTGTTCACAGCGCCAGTCCTTTGCTGGCCAGTTGGAAAGCCGGTGTCTCCAACCACCATCTGCAAATTAATTACTTTTACTTGGTCACTGACCACCTGCTACTGTCACAGCAGAGGCACACAGGCCTCTCTACTCCCTGCTGGCAGATGCCTACCCATCCCCAAGTAGCTTCCTTGTCTCCCTCACACCGGGAAAAGCTCCTGTGCTATGGAACCTATCTGTGCTGCAGGAGTTCTGTTTGCTGCTCAGAAAACCTTGTTTGAAGTGTAAAGTGGATGAAGCAAGTCCCTCAGATTGTTACTTCCAAGCTGCTTGTTAACTAGGCAGCTAAACTGGGAGACAGTGGAAAATACTGTGTGGGTCTGGACAGTGCAGTGACACAGAACTGCTCTGGGGCTGCAGGAGGACAAAGAGGTCCAGGAACACATGTTGGCGCAGGGAGAACAAAGTGGGCACCCAGCTGCCCCCTTATTACCAGGGCTTTTCACTACCTGCTGCTTTTCACTGCATACACACAGCCCCAGGAACCATGAGGTAAATGGTGGCACCTGGAAGAGCCAGTGGGGAAGGTATTTACTCCTAAGGATGTTCAGCGGGACGGCTTTGCAGAAGGTGTCCTAGGAGCTTCCCACACCAGGGGTGAGCCTTGCTGCTGTGTAGGACAACACAGAGCATTTGACGAGCCACTTCCAAGCCCTTACTTTGATATCCAGTGCTGCCTCCTGTTGCTTCTGCTCCCAGTCCCAGGCCTGCAAGGCCACTGTTGTTCCCTGACCTGACTTTTTTCTGGAGTCTGACGTCTCGGTTTCCCCCACAGGTAGCACACACTGGCCTCCCATCTCATCTCCTAATCTCTGACCTCACTTATCTCATCACATGGAGTTAGTTCCCACTTGTCCTTCCCTTTTCCTTGCCTTAGCTCACCCCAATGCTGACCACAGATTTCTGAGCTCCCCATGAATTAAGCACCAAGTGTTCAACACCTGATCTAACACAAGTGGGTTTTCACAATGCACATAATTCCAAACACAGTTTGCAGGGCTGGTTTAAACGATACAGAGGCCCAGCAAAAATTAGCAGTGGGGCACCAGAGTCATCTTACAAAGTCACCTGTCCTGAGGGCCCATCCAACATTGGGTCCCCACCCCAGGGCTCTTTGCCCTCTGTCCCCCATCAACTTCCCCATCACACCTCGCATCTCCGTGCTCCCCCTCTTCACCTGGCATCCCTGCTCTCACCTCCTGCAGTGCCTGCGGTGGGAGCTGCTGCTTCATGCCTGAATGAGTCACCCAGCAGCAGCTGCTCCACCATAAAGCCACCTCCAGCGGGCAGGCAGGCAGGCAGGCGGGCTCATGCCCCTCAGCAGGCAGGAGATGGTCTGAGGCTGCTGGCAGCTCTGCCAAAGAGACCTGAGCCACCTGCCCTGCACACTGGGCTGGCTATGGGCCCCACACAGCTGGTGAGTGGTGAAGGGGCTCTGGGGGAAGGCCAGCTGGGCCAGGGCCACAGGGCTCCTGCAAGCACAGGGTGCCCCGCCAGCTCCCAGGACAGCCTGTGCCTAAGGCTGGCTCTGCTGGCTTGATGCAGCAGCCTTAGTGGGGCCTCCTGAACAGAACAACATGATGAAACATGTAATTAAGATGGAGCTAAGGATGCATGACGAGGCCGACTGAGCGAGAAATGGATTTGATTTTTTTTTTTGTCTCCTTGCAAAAATCATCCACTTCAGCAGGAAACCACCCATTTGGGTTTTTTTAAGCCTGAATTAAAAATAAATTATTTTATATAACTGAAAAGGTTTATAACCTACAATCTCCTTTACCCAAAGCATTGCTTTTTTGCCCTGAATAAACATATCACATACAATGTATAGTGTTTTTAAACCTCTACTCCAAAAGTAAAAAGGCCACGAAATGGTGCCCTCCCCACCTGCAAGGTGAGAATGAGAAGGGAGCAGGCCCATCCTCTTTGTCGTATTTGCCCCCTATTAGGTCTCCTGCCTCCTTAGCAGAGCTCTGCTCCTTCTGTACTACATTCTCCAGAGTTTTGTTTTGTTTAAATGATTAATGCAGCAGAGCTCACAGGTTCTCCTTGGAGAGACTTTTCCAGCCTTTGTAGACCTCACAGTCAGAAAGGCTTCCAAATAGTCAGTCAACACTCTTCACTACTCACTTAGATCATAGGGGGAAACAAACAAACAAACAAACAAAAAAACCCTAAACCACCTTCCCTTCTTAGTGGAGCAGCCCTCCCATGGGAATAAAAATGGGTTCCTTTGTTCTTTTTTCTCCTTTAAGTGGAGCTGGATGGGTTGTAAATGGTATTAGGGATCATGGTTACTTGAGGTAGCTGAGGCCTGGGCCTGACGTGTCAGGAGAGCCACTCCAATCCTATTACACTGACACTGACACTGCTGGGCTCAGGGAGTGGGAGCAGTTGGTGTTCCCCAGCTTTGGGGAATGGAAAAAGGGAAAAGAGACTCCCTTCACTTTCTTCTTGCCCTTCTTATCTGAGAGCTAGTCAGCCTCCTTGGGGCTGCAGTGATCCATGACATTGACGCTGGGTGGATGTCACAGCAGGAGCTCCAAACAGGCACTTCTCTCTGCTCCTTTCCTGAGCCATCATTCTCCAGCTGGGAAGGGCATGTCCTTGAGACACTCTACTTTACGAAGCGGGGCTGAGATCCCCTCTTCTTTCCTGACTTGTGGAGACCCTTCTACCTCTACCACCAGGAAGCCTCTCTGGGCCCAGGCTTGCTGCTCTATGCTGCCACACTGCTGGAAGTGTGCTGCCCAGCAGAGAACGGTGCAAGGCTTTGGCACTGGCAAGGCCACAAGTGGGATCAGAGAGGATGGAGACAAGCAACATGCACAGTCCTGAGAGGAGATAAGCAGGGCAGAGCACAGGAGCAATGTCACCAGGGCCAGGCTGGTATGCAGGTATTGTTTGTGTTTCATGTCACGGTAGTGCTGTTGTCTGTACCCTGGCAGGTCAGGAAAAGGAAGGGTTATACCATGATGCTTACAGAAGGGAAGGAGGGTGATTCTGGTACTCACGTCATACACAGGAGGTGGTGGTGGTGGTGGGCTGGCTGGAGGGGGCTGCGTTTCCACCTTATGTCTCAGGATATTTAGCTGGTTCATTCTAGGGCACAATACCTGCTGATGACAAGACACCAAATGACACATTTGGATTTCTCCAAATCCCCCCAGAGATGAAGCAAATACCCATGTCATATCAAAGCCAGCTGCTCGCACCCTCCCTGAGTGCTTCCAGAGCAAAGAGTGCTGGCTCTCTGTGCAATACAGGTCCCTTTCCTCAGCACAGGGTAAAATGAAGGAGTCTCCTGACTTACACTGGAGCAGTGGAAAGAACTGGGCTTTGTGCCTGGTACATAGCAATCACTTGCACCACTGAAGCTTACACCCTCCATCCAGCTAAGTATTTAACAACACACAACAATGCTGTAGGACAGGGAGTAAAGCAGGGCCCTGTTCTAAGTATGAGGGAAATTTCAGAGGGGCAAAATGCAGTGACTTTTGTCACAATTTGGTCAGGAAGCTTTTGCTAATGTGCAGAAAAGAGCACCAGATGACCAATAATGATGATATATTGTCAGTGATGTGCACTAATGCGCAAGTCCAGCATGGAGTTCTAGAAGAAGGTATGTTTCTTGCATTGGATGACTTCTTGAACACTCTCCATTCACGCACAGAGAAGGCTTAGCCCTGCTCAGCAAGCAAGAGAGGAGGCAGGAAAGGCAGAAGGCTTTGCTAAGTATCTCTGTTCTAATTCAGAAAGAAGTGGGATGATTATATTCACATCACATGAAAACGATGAACTGCTTTCCAGTCCATTAGTAACTAAGGAGGATGCTAAATAGCTTTTCTTAAAGATAAACATTTTTAAACCAGCAGGTCTGAGCAAGCTGTGGTAAGAAATATGGGCTGTGTTCTGCAGGAGGGCAAATGTAATGACTGCAAAATCTCTTCAGGCCCTGAGGACAGCCCATAGGTCTGAGACTTGCCAGCCCACCTCAAAACCTAGAGATGCCAATCAGCAAGTCGTGACAGTGCCTCCCTCCTCATCCCCATGGAGACACTGTCTAGGCAAGCAGAGATGGGGGCTTGTCTCCAGCCTAGTCACTCTGCTGCTTACACTCCTGCCCCCTCCATCAGGCTGCCTGCAAGGTAGGTCTCACGAGATCAGCAGGTCTGCCAGCTGCTGCCATTCTCTTTTCAACCTCACGATCTCTGACTGTGTGTGTTGAAGCCTGATGCTCCTTGGAGTTGTAGGACTGTACCAGCAGCACAGCCTCCACATAAAAATGCATGCAGAGAGTCTGCTGTCATGGGGGCAGAGGGCAGGCTGAAAGTAAATATGGGAAATACTCTACCGAGAAAGCCACAATCCCAATATTATGTTCTAAAAGACATCAGGGTTGGGGTTTTTTTAAGCCAGCCTTAAGATCTCTGGAAGAGTGCAGAGGATGTTATTTGAACTCCTGAAGTACTAGGAGCAGTAGGTTCTCCCTAAACAACAGGGATTCCAGTTATCATGACTCCAGAGTTTTTTCCACAGGGCCCCTGCCTCATCCAGAATGTTAAGCCCTATTTTTGGCTGTTCTGCTGCTGCTGTCTACATCCTTTCTTCCCTACTCCTGGTTTCCCCTTCATCCTCAGCTACTCACCCAGCTTCCACTCCTTACCCAGCTGGTCCCAACCTGTGCCACTGGTCTGCTTACCTGAGGGGCCCTGTCAGTCCAGTCTGAACACCCTCCTCCAAGCTCCAGTGCTACTTCACTCCAGATTCCAGTCCCAGTTTCTCCCCAAAGGCTCCTCCCTCCAGCCTCACAGAATCCCTGCTGTTGGAACATGCCTCTGGAGATTGACTAGTCCAAGCCCCCTCTGCTCAAAGCAGAGTCAACTACAACAGGTTGCTTCTCAGGTCCTTGTCTCTCTTTTTTTTCTAGTTAGTTGGGACTTCTACACAGTCTTCCCTGGGATCCTTGTTCTCACCTTCCTCTCCCACTCTGCCTCTTAATGTTTTCTCTGTCAAACACACGCCCAAGACTCTGGTCCCCATCCTACCACACTGCAGATTGTTTTCTTCGATGGTGCCTGAGCCATGGCTCAGGAATGCAGTTGCACAGTCTCCCTGCCACCAGGCCGTGCCCTTGCACCAGAGCAGACTCCATCTTGAAAGATGATAAGACACAGGGAAAGTCCTGCCCTTCTCCTGCCACGAGGGCTGCAACAGACTTGCTTGGATGCACAGGACATTACCTGTTTGACTGGCACTGTGTGGAAAGGCAGCCTCATATAGGCTCCTTTCGACAGCTGAGCTGCTAAATTGACAAGAGCCACAACTGAGCATACACAGACTGCAATTTTCCAAAGACCCGTCACAAGGCCACAGCTCCTTGAATATTCCCAGGGCCAGCACATGGCTAGCATGACTTCTTGCCCTGTGTCAGATCCTTGCTCTAAAGCAGATCATGACAGAGTCAAAACGATTACCAGAATTTCTTTAAGGGGTAAATCAATGACTCGTTTTGTCTTTCCTGTAATCTTTTTTTCTCAGAAAGACTGAACTTAAAAATAAGAAAATAAACCTGAGGGAGACACCCAGCACAGAAAATTTCAGCATGGGAACTTCCAATCCAGCCAAGTTAGAAACAAGTAAAGTAAATTCCTAGAATGGGTCATGTCAGGTATTGCTTTTTATTTGGTTATAACTTGCCTTTCTTTTCCACAGAAGCAGAACTGTTGCAGTGATGCTCAATAAAGCAAGAAGAGTGGTAAGGGTAACGAGGATTTTCCACCCAGAAGAGGTCTCTGGGTACCCTGTACCTGTAAGGAAGAAGGCAAAAGATTCACATTGTGAGTGAAAGTTACAATCCTAATGTGTTTGTAAACCTGGGAAGAGCCTTTAGAATGCTAAAACACAGAAGCAGTGCAGAATATGGTGGCACAGATGCATACACCCTTCAAAACCTGGTCTGACTGAACTGAGAGAAGGGTTCAGCTGAAGCATCATGCAAAAGAGACAGGATAGCAGCTGCACTTCTTGTAGATTAGAGTGAGGTGACACAACTATGAGAGCCAAGAAAGGGGTAGTTTGAGGCTGACAAAGGTTTTTAGTGATAGGGGCAGAAAGGTAGATGGTGGAAATCACACAGACCACACAAACTAGCAGGGTGGGTACACTAGGCATCCTCTGACCAGCGTAGCAAAGCTACTTCATCACAGCTCTTTGCATTTACACTTCATAAGAAGTTTTTCGTATCCAGCATTCCATAATGCAAATCCAGCCAGTCAGCAGCACTCATGTCCTTATCAATTTTCTGTAACTTTCCTCTTAACATGACCTGAAGCTTTCCCTTGCTTTCCAGTCTTTGCATTAATGAAACAACCAATCCCTGGTTCCACATGGAAAGGGGAGGGGGGTGAGATTACAGTGGGCCCCTAACCTGTTTCTGAGCCACTGATGGTGAGTGCCTAACCTGTACATCTGATTAGAGTGAGCACCCTAACCACTGACTTTGTGTTCAACCACCTCTGTCACGCTGCTAAAGGCCAAACCACACTGTCTCCTGAACACTGACACCTAAAAGCACCCTCTGACCAGTGCCTAGGCTCCTTGGTTAGACCCTGACTTTATGGCTGCTGTGCCCAGGAGGCCATGGCAGGGCAGGTATAAATTACTCTATCTTCACCTCCCCATCTGTGCATTGGGAACAGCAGCACAGGTCACCTGTGTAAAACATATTCAACTCTGATGGCATTAAGTATTGAGCATAAAGTATTATTCCTACCTGACTTTATAGCATGTTTGGATGGAGGAAAAGAAGAACAAAGATCATCTTTCCATAGCTAGATCCAGTGATTGCTAACCAGCTGCCTTTCCTTTCTGGTTGTTCACTTACCTCTAGCAAGGACAAACACTCCCTTTCCCGTTTTCTGAGTGTCATGCCATTCGACCTTGCAGTAGTACGTGCCAGTGGAAGAGGTGCTTTGAGATGGCATGAATGTGTGACTGTAAGATTGGGTAACAGTCTGATTCTCTTTTCCAGCAGGGATGAGTACCTTTTCTGACCTATTACAGATGGATGTCTTCTGGCCCAATGAATTAATCCAGTAGTAGAAGATTGAAAATTTGGTGTATTTTGGCATGTAAGAGAAGGTGACTTCACAGGGGATAGTTATTCCTTCCTTCAGCAGTGCAACCTGGATTGGAGGTTTTTGTTGTACATCGACATTTCCTCCTGTAAAGATAATTGCCAGCAGTCACCTAACAGCACTTCAAGTCAGGAGAGGACTGCTGCCCCAAAGACAGGATCACACGGTGAAAATAACCGTATGCCAGGAAGCGCGCCCGTAGCCCGCAGTGTTGGCCCTTGACTGGTTCAGAGCACGTGCCCTGTGTGATCTGCCACATTTCTTAGGTAATTGCTGTCTGATTTGCAATAGCCTGTTGCATCTACAGGCTTCCCCTTTTCCCTTGTGAGCTCCCCCACACCACGCCAGCACACAGAAAGACAGGAAATGAAGCAGGAAGTGAACTGATTTTGCACTGGTGTGAAGCTATATTTACAGCAGATGAACAGAAACGAATTTTCCAAGACAAACACTACCTAGACATCTCCTGAAACTCCTGAGCTACAGAACTCTGCTGGGGTGTCTACGTGTGCCCACTTGATGACTCTGCATCAGTGAAGGCGCTGTACAGAAGCAGGTGTTATCAGTGGGACTGTATGTTTCTGAGGCACAAGTGTTGAAGGAAATTGCATGTTCTGCATGGGGACCAACACTGGGGTCAGGAGAAATAAGGCACAGCTTAATCACTTCAAAATTATGCTGCTGTAAGTGGGCAGCAAAACACAAGACCTGATGCTAGATATGGGAACTATCTGCAGAAGACGGCAGATCTTATGTATCTACACGTGACAGTATCTTAGGCAGAGAGATAGGAGATCATGCCCTTCATGAACTTCCTCCTTACACAGACAGAGCTGTTGAAAGTGATCTGTCACTGCAATCCAGTAGACAATTATGTCGGGAATTATAAGAGAGGATGAATAAGCACAGACAGGGAACCACACCATAGTTCACTCCCTGTTTTGTTTAAAAAAAAATAATTAAAATGCTAAGAGTAAGCCACAGGCTAGTAAAGAGCCTGAGGTACAGGATGTCTTTGGCTTCCCAGCCAAATCTGGATTTAACATCAGGCAGTCTCTGGATCTATTTGTTTGGCAGCTGACATAACACCACACATAGAGCAACTTAAGAGGAGGCCTGTGTTTTTGCTGTATTTAGAAAAGGGAACTAGAAACTTACACACAAGTCTTCTTACAAAATCAAGGATTCTTTCAGAGACATGAAAAGAGAATGGGGGGGGGAAGTAGCGAGAAAAAGTAGGCGATGGGCAGGCTTTTCCATTCATGCTTTTGATGGGATTCCCTGGGGTCCTGCCTCTATGAACAGGCTCATAACAAGGCATTAAAGCCGTTCCAAAGCACAGCCAGGCTTGCTTTCCTGTCATCATGCACTAACGCTGCGTTGCAACAGCAGCATCACCTCCGCACAGCAGGACTCAGCATCGGAAAAGGCAGCTGGGGCTCAGCGCTGCTGAATGCCAAGCTTGGAGGGAGTGTTGTGGGGGGCAATCATGGAGGGGGGGCACAGCCACAGCCACTGTCCAGAAAGGACTGTTGGGAAGTAACATCCGTTAAAGAAAATCCTTCTACAGACGACAGAGCCAGGGACAATAGCCTGAGAGTAAAGACAAGCTTTGGTTACATCGCTAGAAAAAGGTTCTTAGCTGTAAAACTGACTGAGATACAGTACAATCCTAAGGGATGTGCTCATTTGTTGTGAGTGCACAGTCCTGTGTACTATAGATAAAATAGTGTGGAAATACAGTAGCAGAAAATCCTGCAGACACTGAGGGGGTGATAACCTGAGAAGTCTCTTCTGGGCCTGATTTTCTAAAATCATTTATCATCCATCTCTTCATCTCTACCCAGCAAAACACACATGAACATAGTTTCTATCCAAGACATGGCTAAGCACTGCTGCAACAAAAAGAGGAGAGATCCATCTTCTTACAGTATCCCAGGAGCCATTAGCTTGAGATGAACATGCCAGGAAATAAGCCAAGCCATTTTATTTAGGTTATCTAACCCTTCTCCCATGCTCCCTCTTTCTTGAGGATTCTCTCAGCTTTGAAATGCTTTAAAGACAGAAATAGCTGCAGCATGCAAATTCCTAGAGGGGATCTCTGGAAATTAGCAAAAAGATAGCAGCTGGAAATGCTCTAACATGAACAAACATGAGAGTAAACAAAAGGAATTTAAAAAAAAATAAAAGCTTTTTTACCTCCACACTGAAGCAACCAAAGAAAGAGGAAGATGACTTTTAGACTAGAGGCCATGATGGGGGTCAGAGGCTGTAAGAAAGCAACCAGATACGAAGATCCAGAAGGCATAAGAGATGAGGGTTTGTCAGGTATTTCCATGCCCATGCAGCTGGTGGATCCCCTCCTATTTGCAAAGGGACGTCAGGATGGGCACATACTGCTTTTGGCAAGCTGTTCCTGGCAGACACAGGCTCTTCTGCTTTTCGGTCAGACTCCTCCCTGCACCAGGGTTCATTTCTCTGTACTGTTGCGATGGTGTTACACATACCAGCAAGTGTTGAAAGATAAGGCCATAAGCTCTTTAATGCATAGAGCTTTGTCTTCCAATTACTGTAAAACATCAAACGCATTTAAAGCAAACTTTGTCACCTTCCACAGCGACAAAAGCCCTGTGCTGGCATGTGGGAATAAAACCTACTTGGGCTGATGCCGATCAAGGCCATTTGAGGTGAATGTGCTCAAAATCGGCAAAGGATTCAGCAGAATCTGGAGTGATGGACAAGCTTAAAAGTGTTACAGTGGGATTTTTACCATAAATTTGCAAGGATTTGTTTCCACAGTTGTTTTGGAAAAGCTGTTCTGGATTACTTCACTGCATGAATGGTCCAGGCTTTGGAATAAGGTCACCTTACTTAAAATTATCATGACTGTTTAGTTCACATGGAGAAGCTGCTAAGCACTGCCATAGGGTGTGGGTTCAGGGCAGAGTAGCACTGTCAAACTCCTTCTTCATGCGAACACTTATGTCTGGGACCACCTGCTTTGCATTCAACATGGAAAACAAGTACCCACATCCGCAGTCAGTAACAAAGAAACAGCTCCATGGTCCTCCTGACTGCACGAAACTTCCCTCCACTGCCAACTCCTCCACTAGGTCACTACGGAGGAAAGCACTCATATTCCAGAAGTGAGAACGACCTGAGAGGAAATTCATCCCTAGCAGCTGGTATGTTTCAGATCCACACAATGCTGGCTCTGAATCAGCTTCAAAATGCAGGTAAGCCTTAAGAAATCTATTGTAGGGAAAACTAAGGAGAGTCCTTTGAAGAAGAAAACCCTCTCTTTGTGGGAGGATCCTGCCACCTATACTCATGAGAAGTCTTTGATTTCAAGGAAAGCTTGTTTTTAGCTAAGACATCTGCAGTGCAACAGCTGAGCAGCGTCTGACTCAAAAAAACCCTCATGTCTGAGAGGTCATCACTTCTCTCTAGGCAGCTTCCTCCTTTCACACTTCTCATGAGATGTTTGCCCTGTCCACAAGCAAGCACTCTGCTGCAATTTCAAGGGTGCCTGCTCACGCATGCGGTGTGCTGGGCTGTGTGGGGAAAGACTTAAGAAGGCAGCTGAGCCTGTAAACTGCACACTGTCAAAATCACTCTCAGTTGTTTTATCTCACTAGGCCTTGTAGGAGTGAGGTTTGCTCCAAAGTGACCTTTGTTTTACAGCATTTTCCTTCCTGCTCAGCCTGGGACAGGTCCCCAGGAGGAAGGTGTCTTGACACAGAGGGTGGCATGCAGCTCTGGCCACTGCATGCCCCCAAGCCCAGGTACCCCAAAGAGAGCCCTGACAGATGGGGAGAGAAGCAAGTGGCTTTGTGTGGCTCTACAAGGCAAGTGCAGCAGCTGCACTCCTCTGGGGAAGGTTTAGCTCAGATTAGCCAAAACCAACTCCTCTCCCCAAGACATGCTGACGTGAGCTGCATGGGGCTGGTCTCAGCTGGATCTCGCTTCTCACAGGTCTTAACGCTCAGCAGCAAAGACAAAAGCAGTCACAAGACACTCAGGGCCCACTTGATATTTCAGATATGTAGGCACAGATCAGGCAGATGTGCCTCTGGGGAGCTGTGGGCTTACAACAGTGCTCAGCAGCATTTCCCATATCTGAACAGCACCTCAAGGTAGTTGGGGCAGGGAGGGAGAAGGGGGCAAGGGCTTTCTAGCCTGCTGTGGAAGAACTCTGCTGAACAGCTTCCTCGGCTCTTGTATCATGCTCATCCCCATGGTAGCACACAGCTTTGCAATTTCCAGCATTGATGTATTTCTAGAGGACAGAACATGCTGCTCCTGTCAGTGATGTGTTTTAACTGTTATCAGCATTTATCTGCTTCAGGAATTCAGAGCGATAAGTGGATTAAACGCGGTAGGTTTGTAGGGCTGCTGGGTCAACATCCCCCTTCCTCCTTTCCCTTCTCTTCCTATAAACAACCCAGTTGCCACTCCAAATGCCAAGTCCTAGAAATACTGCTGTCTGGAATTAAAAAAAAAAAAAAAGATCTAGCATTTCAAAAGAGATCACACATAAGACTCAGCTGTGGGATTAGAGACATGGCCAGGCCAGAAATACATTCACTGCTGGAATTTGCTATGGTAGAGCTCACTGAAAAGAAATGGCTTTGAAACTACTACCCAGCAGCTATTAACTGCGAGACAGGATGACATTCTGTTCCTTAGAGCCTGAAGGGAGCCTGAATCTTTGAATGTTAAATTCTAATTCAATTTGGTCTGGGGATTCAGGGCTGGGGTTTAACCCTGGAGACATAAATGGGAGGAAGATGAAGAAAAGCTGGAGAGATGTGTGTTTCTATTACCAGCCTGTAGCACAGCTGAACTGATCCCCCTGAAACTTGGGTGGAACTAACCAGGATACCTGTGCCAAAGGAAATAAATGACAAAGCTCCAAAGGAATAGATCATTGTATGACCTTCACTCATGCATTATACAGTACAGTGCTGCGTGTGAGCTGGTCCCTGCAGCATGACAAGGAGGGAACTGCCTGTCTAGCAGCATAGGCTGGCCAGGATCCATATGGCTTGGTACTTCCTTTGATGCAGCGAATGCTGATCACTTCCTGAGACAAAATACAGGACTGGGCCAGGTGCTAGCAACAGCTTCTGCTTGTAGCTGGGAAGCGGCCATTAATTTCACTCAAGTGCCGTTAAAAGCCGGCCACAGCGGCCAGCACTCCCAGCCATGAGGAGAAGCACATAGTTCTGGCGCAGATGAACAACAAGTTTGGACAAGTGCTGAACCTACCAGAACTGCCTGTTCACAGCTGTGTCCAATGTACACCCACAAGCAAAGGCACACACACATGCCCACACATGCCCCCGCAGCCAACTCCAGGGAAAGCGTTTATTCAAACAAAAAAAGGCTGCTGCCAGCCAAGGCGAAAGCAATGCTGCGGGGACCACAACAAAGCCTCTCCACTGCTGAAGCGTTTAACACCACAACCATCCAAAACAGAAACACCGCTTGGCGCGGAGAAGGGCTGCAGCAACTCAAGGAGCCAGATTGCAAAGCGAGCATTCCCCAGCGCGGCAGCTCTGGATTTGCCGCCGTGTCGGAGACCAGCTCGGTTCCCCGCTGCTGAAAGGCAGCAACGCACGCACCCCTGGGGATTCCCAATCTCTCTGACCCCTCCAACCCCAGGCCCCGCGGCCTCCCTGTCTGGCAGCAGCAGCGACAGGAGAGCCAGGGCCAGTGGGGCCGAACCTCTGCCAGCGTTTTTAACACTGTTGTGCGTCGAGTGACTCCCAGCAGGGCTGGATGATGCTGAGGTAAAAGCTGCCAATGCCCTCGCTGCGTTTCCACGCGTCGAACTGCTCTAGGGAAGAGAACAATCAGCGGCTCCAGGGGAAAATGGAAAAAGAAAAGGTGTTGACACCACCGTGGGGAAGGGAGGGGGCTCCTCTGTAATTCCCTTTCACCAGCAAAATGAGTCTGCCTCAGAAATCACCCTGCTTCTGCTCTTTTTCTGTTCATCTCCTGGAAAGATTCCCGGGGACGAAATCACCATCACACGCCTGATGAGCTCTTGGGGCCGGCGCTGCCCCGCTGCGCCTGAGCCCCGCCGGGTTCCCTACAGCCTCCCGTCCCTCACAGGCTGCCTCTCTCAGCCCGAACGGCTTCTTGCCCTCTCAGGCCGGACCTCCCAAGAGGAGACCCACCTCGGGGCAGAAGCAGCAGCGGCCCTCCTGCGGGCAGAAC